CCTTCCCGCAGGTTCACCGTGGTTGACCCAATGGACTTTTGCCTGGCTCCTACGGGCTCTTCTCTCACAACGTTCTTGATGCCTCCCGGGCCAAGTTTTTTCACCAACCAAGCTGTCAGTGCAGCTACACCAACTGCACACGCTACCTTGGTCGACTCAGCCTCTTTGGGGAAGCGGCAAGGTGGTCACTACAGTCAAACCTATGATTGCTGCAAGAACTGCACCAGCAACTTTGGCTGTAACCCTACCTTCTGTACAACTACCCAGAACTTCCATTCCTCCTTATTTAAGGAATTCCTCCTTATTTAAGGAATTCCTCCTTAAAATTCCTCCTTAAGTTAAGGTGGAATTTTTGAAAAAATCATCCTTAAAATTCCTCCTTAAATTTTCAATTGCAAGGAGATCTTGCACCTCCTTCAGCAGGAGACTTGAAACCTCCTTATCCCAGATCCTGGCAGCAAAGCTTTTCACTTCAGATCTGGAATCACTTGTGCTCGAAAACTTTGCAGAACACTCATGCCTATGGAATAAGGGTTGTGGCTTCCACCTTTCACAGCTCCTAAGTGAGCTAGGAAGCCACCAAAGTCTTCGTCTCTATATGTCTAACTGTCTGATGGACAAGAGTTCTGGAGCAATAAATCTAAGAAGCTGTGGTGCTTTGGTTTTGATCTTCCAAGTATGGTCAGTCTCGTTTTCCAAGCTCTTGCACAACAGCAAAAACGTTCTGCCATGCAGCAGCATTGACTGGTGATTCCATAGATTCTTGGACAAGAAAGAATAACATTGCCACAGTTCTGTGGCAGCCATCTTGATTGTATGTTCAAGCACATTGTCATCAGCCAAAAATTCATCGCATATTTGTTTTGCAAAAGTAATCAACCCTCGAGCTTCTGCAGCTTTGGCTCGAAGTTTTGGACTTGAACTGGCTTTCTTTCTGATCATGAGGACTGTCAAAGTAGGAAGCTTGTTTTCGACACCTTCAGTCTTGTAGTAGCTTTGAATTCTGTGGAACAAGCTTTTCAACCGTTTCTTTGACATTGTTGCCAGGCAAGTGATTTCCAGAGGCAATTAAATGGTGAAAGACATTGCCCAAAAAATCTGCTGCCACGCCCAAGTCCACAATGTGAAGCCAGTCCAAAAGAAATTGTTTGCTTGTCAGTCCTGGTGTTTGAAACAATTCATTGATGTCAATGCCAGAATTGGAAATGGATTGCAACAAAGTGAAATGGTCCAAAGGATCAAATGCCTTGCAGCTTTCAAAGTTTCGAATTTCAATTGGTTTGCACAAGCACAAATGGCAGCATCCTTGTTTGTCTCGCCATCCAGGAAATTGGAAAACTTCTTTTCTCATAGCCCAATCACCTCTCACTTCAAGTAAAAAAGCAGTGAAAGGCAATGCCTTGCCATTGAATGTGCTTCGTTTTTTGTCGCCTGGGTGCCAAAAGCTGCCATCATGCCTTGCTGAAGGCCAAGTGCAATTGGCTAAGTGAATAAGAGACCAAGACAAAATTCCTAACATCTTCGACAAAGTTACTCCCTTGATGCACCAGTGCTTTGGAATACAGCACAAAGGGATTCGCAAAGTACCATTAGGTGGAAGTAAGCCAGAAAAATTCAATGAGATGCATTCCAAAGTTTGACTTCTGTCATAATTGTAAGGTGTGCCATCGATCCAAAGGCCAAATCCTATGGCTTCTCGAACTTGGAACTGCATTTGCATGTTCGCCAAATGTTTCTTGCTGAGTTCACACATGCCACCAGTCTGCAGCAAGTCTTTCTTCTGATCGCTTCGAGCAGACAAAAAGAATCTCATGTGGCAAAAGAAAAGGTATCTTCTTCATCTCTTCTGCTTGTGTTCCAGGTTTTTCAGCAAGGGATCAGTGCAATGTATTCATTGAACCACAGGCAATTCTTCAACATTTTTCTTTTCATACCGGGTTCTTCAAAAAAACAGCCATCCTCCTACATGTTGTCACATCATACCTGATCCCCCCGCGCCCCCTTGATCAATGTTGTTGCCCAATGCATGCCGGCATCCGAACCGAAATGGCTGTTTTTCCCCACCTGCCAGGTGAGGGTTGTTAGATTTTATGTCAGTTGCTTCCTCCTCGTCCTCCTCGTCCTCCTCGTCCTCGTCCTCCTCCTTCTCCTCCTCCTCCTCGTCCTCCTCGTCCTCCTCCTGCTCCACTGCGATCCATGTCAGTGTGCCCTGCCGGACCTCAACCACGACCATCCACGTCAGTGTGCCCTGCCGGACCTCAACCACGACCATCCACGCCCAGTGTTCCCTGCCGGACCTCAACCACGACCATCCACGCCCAGTGTTCCCTGCCGGCCTCAACCACGACCATCCACGCCCAGTGTTCCCTGCCGGACCTCAACCACGACCATCCGTGCCAGTGTTCCCTGCCGGACCTCAACCACGACCATCCCCGCCCAGTGTTCCCTGCCGGACCTCATGTGGGAAGATATGGGACAAAGAATGTGCAGAAGAAAGTTAGAAAGAATGTCAGAAAGAATGTCAGAAGATATGCCAGAAGATATGCCAGATAGAATGCCAAGATAGAATGCCAGATAGATATGCCAGAAGATATGTCAGAATATATGCCAGAAGATATGCCAGATAGAATGCCAGATAATATGCCAGAAGATATGCCAGATAGAATGCCAGATAGAATGCCAGAAGAGATAGTGCCAGAAATATGCCAGAAGATATGCCAGATAGAATGCCAGATAATATGCCAGAAGATATGCCAGATAGAATGCCAGAAGATATGTCAGAATATATGCCAGAAGATATGCCAGATAGAATGCCAGAAGATATGCCAGAAGATATGCCAGATAGAATGCCAAATAGCCAATGTCCAGAATGTCAGAAGATATGTCAGATAGAATGCCAGGAGATTTGCCAGTAAGAAAATGTATAAATGTCATGGTGGGGATCACACGAAGTAAAGTAATTTTTGAAGGCCTTTCGAAGCAAAGCGATGTAACAACATTGAATTGGGGGAAGGGGGCATGCAAGTTTCTTCGCAATGAGTTTGACAGGATGGCTGTTTTTTTTGAAGAACCCGGACTCAGTCCGGGAAAGATTTTTGTTTTACGGATGTGCAAACACAAGCTTGAACAAACTACCTTTTGCACTTGCCACAACCTCAATCCAAACACGCTCTCATCTTCAAAGCTGCTACCCAGCAAACAAAGAAGCACATTTTTTTTGTTTATGGCTGTTCAAACGCAAGCTTGAACAAATTCCCTTTTGCACGTGCCACAACCCCAATCCAAAGACACGTTCATCTCCACAGCTACACACAAGCAAAGAATGTGCCTCCACGCCTCCAGAAGCAGAATTGCACAAACTGTGTTTTGCACAGTGCACGTACAGTGCACGCACAGTGCACGGTACAGTGCATGTCACAGTGCACGGCCACAAAACGCTGTAAATACCATGGGATTGGCGTTTCGTTGACAATTTACAAAAAACTATAGAAATATTTTCTTTTTTCGTGTTTTTTGGTTATTTTTGGGAAAAGACGTGGTATTTACAGCGTTTTGTGGCCGTGCACTGTGACGTGCACTGTAGCGTGCACTGTGCCTGCACTGTATGTGCACTGTGCAAAACACAATGTTTGTGCCCCCTTATATTTTCATCAGCAGAACGCTGCAATTCTGCTTCTGGAGGCGTGCAGGCACATTCTACATTAGTGCACCATGTAAGGCACACAGCTCTGATCTCCAATTTTTGCCCACGTGCGGAGCAAATGCTGCAATGTTGCTTCTTTGTTTGTGGGTAGCAGCTCTGAAGATGAAAGTGTGTTTGAATTGGGGTTTTGGCACGTGCAAAAGGGAATTTGTTCAAGCTTGCGTTTGCACATCCATAAACGAAAAAACAAATCTGTTGCGTCTTTGTTTGGTGGGTAGCAGGTTTGAAGCTGCGAGTGTGCTAGGGATTGAGGTTTTGGCAAATGCAAAAGGGAATTGGTTCAAGCCTGTATTTTTGCACATCCATAAGCCAAAAAATCTTCCCCGGACTCAGTCCGGGAAAGATTTTTTGGTTTACGGATGTGCAAACACAAGCTTGAACAAACTACCTTTTGCACTTGCCACAACCTCAATCCAAACACGCTCTCATCTTCAAAGCTGCTACCCAGCAAACAAAGAAGCACGATATTTTTTTGTTTATCTGGGCTGCTGTTAAGATAGGTAAAAAGTGTAACCTAATATTTTAAATGAAGTCTAGTATGAGGTCCCATAATAAGCTTTTAACAGCAGCCCAGGATAATTTACTAACAGCCCACCAAACAATCATAAATTAATTTAATGATGGTTCCCTATCGACAATAAAGATTGTTTTCATATGATGGTGTCTAACAAAGATGGCGCGATGATTTAGGATTAATAAAATAAGATTATATTTAATAACAACATTTCACACCCTTCAAAAGGTTAATCCCTGTAACCCCTGTAACCAGTCTGGGTTCGGTTGGAGGGTAGGGTCTAATGGGTATGTTCAAAGATGGGAATGTCCCAGTATTGCCTAGTTACTATTTACCCTCTGGTAAATTAACATAGACCCTGGCAGATAAGGGTTGGAAGATTAGTTTCCATTAAAACTAGGCTATTTTATTTCAGGGTCTATGTTAATTTCCAGAGGGTAATATTTGAATTCATAATATGTTGGGGGACATCCCATGTTTGAACATGCCCAGACCCACTGGCGCCGGCGCTGGCCGGCAACACCCTGCACCTGTGGCTGCTGCTGCCACCCAGTGCGGACCTTAAATTGGGTCGAGGAAATTGGGTTGAGGACGAAAAATGGGATGCCCAACGACAAAAATCACCTAAGTAAATGGCTCAACAATTAATCGATCAAAATAGTCTACCATTCATGTATTCTACTGGGGTTATGGATTTCGAAAATGATAGTGTTTACTACACATCATCGTTGCCAGCAAGAGAATAGCGTTTTTTTCAAGCAAGTGCAAGTGCTTGCCGATGGGTCAGTCCTTCGGCTGCCAGCCCATACATTTGTTCAACTGTTCAATCAGCTTTGCTGATACGGAAAGTGGCCAAGCATTTCCTAGAGCCATCCCCAGCTCCCTTGCTGAAAGATCATCGGGCTTGAGGCTCATTGGCTTCCATCCCTGCACCAGAGCTTTCTCCTGAAAGGTGAACCAATGTTTTCATTCCAATGTTACGAGGTGGCTCAATGAAGAAGTCATTTTTGAGAAGACTTGGCTTAGTAGGGAACTCTAGTTGTTTTAGATTAATTTCAGATAATTATGACGCGCCCACACAAGTCCTCAAGGGTCATGAAGCGATTGTGGCTGGTCACCCAAAAGGATTCCGCACCACCACGAGCACGGGTCAGGGTTGGGCTCCTGGGAAATCGAAGGATATCAAAGGGGATTTCATCGAAATCATCTGAGTTGAATTGACCATGATTTATGATGGCAAGTTACACTTCAAAGCTCGGTTTTCCAGCAAACTTCCTGCTGGCAGCGCAGTCAATCACCCTGGGCGATCAATGGTTGGGATCAGAATACCCTGTGTCAAAATTTAGAATCCCATTGAACTTCGTATCATTTGACCCACATCAACCAAAATCATTCTAATCAATGGCAACTTACTACTAAAATACAATCAAGCAACCAGCATTCTTCAGCATCTTCGTTGTTTCGAACCAGATTCCGCAGGCCCTCTCGCAACCTTTTCCTACCACCACTCGAAGATGGAAATTCCATATCGTTGCTTTTCCTCCAGGGCTCAATGACAATGAGAACACTATTTTGAAAAGAATGAGTCGCTCGTTTTAACATTGGTAATTAACCGGCCTTCCCAGCACCTCACTCAGCTTGACTTTCTTCCGGATAGGCTTGGGCCAAGTAAATTTTCCTGGGAACAACCACGAGGGTTCAACTAATGAGCCAAATTTGGATATGGATTAGATATGAATTTCGAATTCAGTCAAAATTACTTGTTAATTTAATTGGATTGAAAAATTGACAGAAATAATTTTGACTGAATTCGAAATTCATACCTAGTCTAGACCCATACAATCCCTATCTTTGAAGGGTCACTTTGGGGGGCCCCACACTGACTTTCGCGCCATGGCCGAGGCACCTTTCGCTGCATTGGTGTTCACTCCAACTATCCAGAGGCGCCGGCGGCGCTGTGGCAGTCCATAGTCCTGGGCATCCAAGACCTGCAGAAGCAATTGGGGAGATGAAAGCTAGGGCATGTAAACATTTTTGATGTACAGACCAATCACGCCTTCCAATAGACTTTGTAATGGCCTTTAGCCTTCAGCCTTAGTAAGCTCTGAATTTAATCAGGTGACGACGAAATGATTGTTTAAATTCACCCATTGAAACCATTGCCATGTTTAGGACAAGGGGCTTACGGAGCAACTTCTTAAAGAACTTGCTATTCTTCTTTGAAGTCAAGTTCGGGACGTTCTCAAGTAAATATGTGTTGGGCAGCCATTTGTTGATTCGCCCCACAACCTGAGGCAGCAACGCAATTGATAAATAAATTTGAATATCTGTCTGTCTGACCGCACTGAAGCTTAACACTTTTTTTCTAGCTGGGGAGCTCTTTCCAAAACCCTGCTTCTCGGGTCCTTCGACCCCAACTTCTGGCCGATTTTCGAAAACGGCTGACATGGTGTACCCCTTCCAAAGATATCTATCAATTTCTCGATACCTCAGATCACTTAGCGGAAAGCACGGCCGGGAGCACCATTGTTTCCACAATAATATACGGACTGACTAATGCCATTTGTGGTAGTCCACACCCAATATGTTTTTTCACAATAAATGACATTTGAAGTTTAGGGGCTCTTTGGTTTTGTTGCATCATCACTCACCAACGCGGGCTTGTAGACTTTCCTCAGCCTCTTCAACAGTTTCGGGTCCTTCTCAGAGACATAGTAAACTTTTCCTTTCACCCCCGCAAGCCTTAGTCCCATAGAATTGGCTTAAGGGTGTTTAAGGGAAAACCCATGGTCAGAAGTTGAACCAACAAAACATTGGTTTGAAAACAATTCACAGGACTAGCTTGACCAGTCTCGACTTAACAGTGGCGACAGAAAAACAAATGTCATCCACCAAAAGTAAACCAAGGAGCTTACAACTTTCATGGAGAGGTCCCAAGCCGGCAAAATCTTCAGCTAAGACCAATTGGGATTTCTTGAAGTTCCGGTGTGCCATTGTTTCATGACACTGAGCCAAAATGATTATTAGGATAGATGTTAGGTGGCCAGTTTACATGAAATCAAAAACTTACGACGTGAATTAAAAAATCGCCACTACTGATGGTCGATTGTAAGCCAATTCTTTTACCCCGATCCGCACACAAGGCTCGGCCACATCTAAGCTATGTCAGCTATGTCAAAATCTACCGGGAAATTTCGAATTTTGTCAGCCTTTCACGACTGCAAATCCCTCAGCTTTTGCAAGACATCAGAAGCCTTCTTTGAACCAGCCTGCACGAATGACCAGCAGGTATGTTTGATATTTCTGAGTACCTTGTCATAAGCCTGATTAACACATTATTTCCAGATTTGCCCCAGCCTTTGGTCTGCCTTTGGCAGCCGCCTTCTTCTTTGCAGAGGCCTTTCCCTTTGCCTTTGCCTTACCCTTAGGTTTGGCTTTTGCCTTCGAACCTCCTTTCGCCTTCGGCTTCGCCTTGGCCTTTTCCGTTGCCTTACGCTTTGAACCTTTGTTGGGCTCACCTTCATCATCCTCATCCTGCTCCTCTTCATCCTCCTCCTCCGGGCCCTCATCTTCACCCTCCATGGAGGCATCATCTTCGTCCTCACCCTCATCCTCACTGCCTTCCTCCTCTGCTTCCTCTTGGTCTTCACCGTCATCTTCGTCTTCCTCCTCCTGTTCATCCGGCTCGCCTCCTTCATCTTCATTGTCATCCGGCTCATCATCATCATCATCCTTCCTGGCCTTCTTTTTAGGTTTCGCTTTCGCAGCCTACCAGGGGTTGCATGTTCCTTATTATTCTTATAAACTGTTTTTTTATGATAGCCAATGTTCAAAGAACAACTTACTATGTTACAGTAGCATTACTAAGAATTGCGCACCTTCTTGGAACTCCCTGCCAGCAGCTGAGCCAGCGCAGGCTCAAACAGCGGCGAGGAAGAGGTCTGCATTGCCTGGAAAACCATCGCTTCCAGACGCTTCATCAGCAGAGTTGCCTAGGTGACAGGGAGAGAGGCCACAAAATAATTGGTATTTTAATACCGTATGGTAGTAGTATGGTACTTGGGATTCTTGGGATAATAATTAATTCAATGTCAATAGATTTTTTTCATCTTGGCATGTTATGTTAATGAAACATAAAATTGGGTATGGTACTGGGAGTAACAAAAGGAGCGTTATTATATGGTTCTATCCAAGTGGCATGGTCCTGTGTGAAGACCAACCCGATGTATGGGCATCTCCGGCAAATTGCAGCGAATGCGGTTTTTCCATCACCTTGAGCTGAGCCGAGGGCCCCTATAGTAGGAAAAAGGAAAAGACAATGATTTATTAATATGATGAATTTTATATAATTGGTCATAAATTGATTTGACAATCAGTCCAATAACCCAAATTGGTTGTGCAGAATGTTCACAGCGACCATGTAGTAAATTTTAACCCACGATGAAATGGTCCTATGGGAATGATTGACGGGATAAAACTTTGGATTGAACCTATTAATTTAAAATTGATAAATAAACATTTGGTGGTACCCAATGTTCAGTTCAGAAGCTACTACAATTCTTATTGCAGGTAGGCATTCCCACGGTCTTCAAGAATTACAATGGGTAAAAAACCATGCTGTTTGAAAATCAAGGAGTTGATGGCTTGTAGCCAAGAAACAACATGACAGGTCCAGCATGTAGCCGATGTTGAGCTCTTCAAAGATCTCATGAGGCCGGGGGCTGAATGTAAATAATAAAATAAAAAAAAACCTATGCGTCACCATCCCAGGTGTTGAATCTAATCATCGGCAATTTTTCATGAAAATCCTAAGCCCTGGATCACCATCAATTAAATTTGATACCAAGATGCTGCTTCCTTCGGCATAGCATGCTATGCAACTGGTTCTTCATCTGCATCACGACGACGGCCTTTGCACAGCCGAGTGTAATGGTCAGAAGTTTGTCGGCGATCAAAGCTACAAACAGAGATGACAACACCAAGAACAATTATACCGGGTGTGTGTGGTGCTACGGCGGAAGCAGGGTGTCACCGCTTCCATCCCACACTGAGATCGGTGGCACTGTGCTGCGTTTCCAAACAGTGCGAACAAGGCACCTTGTTTGTCGGTTCCCTGAACATCAGGCTTGTTCCCGACAGCGATCCGATTTGCAGCGAAGAGAAGCTTCTTGTTGGCCAACGACAAGCGCCACGTTTCATCTTTGTCCTCAGCCAGACTATGAATGGGGATAGTTTAATTAAAATAAATAGATAACTGGGGGCCTAATACATAAATAATAAATAATTATTATTATTATTATATAGTAAGAATGCTGGAGAATTCAAATGAATCATTGGTAGAAAACTGTTGGTGACAAACTGCCTGGGTTGCATACACTATATCTGTAAGTGGCACGCCCAAGGATTTCAATTTAATTTTTGTGGGGTCCTCAAAAAATTCGTCCCAAACATATTGACTCTGGCATTTGGTCCAAGGAACCTATTATTCAAACATGTTTTTTTAGTAGGGTTCGTCTTTACGACTTCTGTTTGGGTTAGTGCACCCTTCAGTTAGAATCCCAAACATTGAGTTATTTGTTTTTGATCCAGAGGACAAGCAGCCACATGCTCATAATTCGATAGTAGTGATTATCCTGATGGTCATGAATGAGTCACTTAGCACCACCATCGGCAACAACATGAACCAGTATTACTGTTGTCGTCATCATCTTCTCCATCATCTTCATCAATTGTCTTTCTCATCAGAATCACCGAATCAACATCATAATTAATTAAAAAAACATCATCATCATCATCACCATCATCATCATCATTATCATAATCATCATCATAAACATCATCACCACCATCGTCGTCATCACCACCATCATCACCATCGTCGTCATCATCATCATGATCCTCGTCGTCATCATCATCATCATCATCATCATCATCATCGTCATCGTCATCGTCATCATCATCATAATCATCATCATCATTGTCGTCATCATCATCAGCGTCATCATCATCATCAAAAACAGCATCATCATCATCATCATCATCATTGTCGTCATCATCATCATCGTCATCATCATCATCAAAAACAGCATCATCATCATCATCATCATCAAAAACAGCATCATCATCATCGTCATCATCATGATCATCATCATCATCGTCATCACCGTCGTCATCATCATCATGATCCTCGTTGTCATCATCATCATCATCATCAGCATCAGCATCATCAACATCATCATCATCGTCGTCGTCGTCGTCATCATCATCACCATCGTCGTCATCATCATCACCACCATCGTCATCATCATAAACATCATCACCACCGTCGTCATCATCATCATCATCGTCATCAGCAGCATCATCAACATCATCATCATCACCATCATCACCGTCATCACAAAAAAGTCAGAATCATCTCCATCAAGTTCCAGCAGCAGGTTCGCGCGCCGCGGGGGGGGGGGTTCCACGGACACCCCCAACGGCGCGCGAACCCAACCATCGTAATCATCCCTGTCATTATATAATAATCACTACTTTCCCCCCTTGAGTGATATCTAGATTGTTGAATTCATATGATTTCAAAGAGCCATGGTTCATCCCAAGACGGGGCTTTGATCGGGGCGATCACATCCCCCCTATTGGTGCCAGCGTAATGGACTCTGTTGTGAAAGCTCCAACCCATCTCCTCCGATGTAACGACGATCATGCGCTCCATCTGGTTGATTGCACTGCCTCGGTCTCGGTGTTTCCTCTCTCTGATGCTCTTCTCGTCCCACATGAGGTATTTCACCAGTTTGACCTTCGACATCGGCTCCGAGGATGGGGGCTTGATGGCGGACAGGATGGGGGCTTGCAGTCCTGAGGTGGAGTAAGCACTAAATTGACTATTTAAAGTGATTGACAACTGACTTTTGTGGATCACCGATTCTGAAAACAAAAATAATTTAATGTGAATTTGAATTGTTGGTATTTTGTTGTATTTTGTGGATCCTGATTCCAGTGGCCCAATTTGTTTAATGCCAAGACGAGACGCCATCTCTCCCTCCATCAAGAACCACCACCCCGTCACCAGGGTTCATCCCACCAAGCTCGGGATTGAACCGCAGGCCGATGGCCGATCCAAGCAGCTTTGCGTGGCGCCCTTCTCGCAACGGCGGAAGGCGAAGTGTCGGTTGTGTTTGGGCTTCTCCAACGGTCTTGGTATCCTCAAGGCATCAATCTTCCCCACTGATTATTATTATTTTAACTTATTATTATAAATTCAATGATTGTAAATCGGGGAACTTGTATTGTTATCATACCACGGCGTGGGTTCTGGCGTGGGCTGTGGCAAGATTTTTACAAACCCTAAAATCCAATCACAACACCACTGGTCTAACCATCGTTGATCTATCTAGCTTTGTCTCTGGAAAAGGGATGACAAGGTTCGAAGTAGATGGCGACCATCTTCGTGATCTGGTTCCTCAGAATCTCTGAAATTCAACGGCCACGTTCAACATGTCCAAAAATCAGATGGTGGGATGACAGTGATGGGGTAGCATTGCAATTCTTTTTGATTTCACACCCAACCAAACTTGTGGTAGCAAACAAATTGGAGACAAGACTCGTTGTTTGACAGACCTCAGCCTTCCAATCTACAAAGGCTGTTCCCTGGAAGGCTTTGGTCATGTTTGACATATTGTCCTGCAGCCACCATAGGAGGAGAAAGGAGAAAGCATCAATGGTAAGATTTTTTGTTTCTGGGAAGCCGTTGGGGTGTTTTATTACGAAACATGAGTCCTCTTCTACCACCAGGCGGACATGTGTTCGCACTGTCTGGCTTGCCTTCTTCTTGAACCTGTGACAACGACTCATGGGTCTTCCCCTAAAATCTGGGAAATGACTTGTTGCCATGGGGTTGCATGACCAAAATTCTGAGTTCAAAACGCTTCAACTTTCTGTTTTGCACTTTCTTCAAGTGCAGGGGGCTTCTGAACTGCTTCCTTCGCACCACCTCTTTTGGGTCTTTGAGTGGTGATCTGGGGCAGTACCTGAGGCAAGTCCCACATTCCGAGCCAACCCCAAATTCATGATTGATTTTTTCCAGTTGTTTCTCAAGTTATTATTGGTGAAGGCAGTATGCCTCCATGTGAGCAGTCCCAGTAGGGTCGTCTTCCTCATCCTCACCCTTGGCCCCTTGATCATCATCCTCGATTGGCAGGTCGTCCTCTCCGGTTTCCTCCTGCAAGGACCAAGGGGGTAAGGTGGGAAAGCGTGATTGGACATTAAATGAATGACCGGACATAAGTTAAACTACAGTAGATCTAACCCACTCCTGGTCATTGTTCTTTGACGCTTTGACTTCAGCCGTATGTTGCCTAGCCAATTTTGAAGGATTTATAGCGTGGTTTGGGATTTCAAATCAATGTCAACGAATCACCAAGAAGATGCTGTTGCTGACATTATCCATGACACTTTCAACTGATTCAACTGCCAAGATACTTCTTGATCGCATCCAACCGGGCCATGATTTCGGTATTGTCCATCCAATCAGCAACCTGAAGGATGGCTTGGCTTCCAAACAAAGCTAAGTCACTGACAGGAAAGCATGAAGGCCTTCAAGGTAATAAGGCAAGTAGCAGGCTTCCGATGTCGAACCAAGTTCTTCAAAGTAGGTAGGAACGTGTCTGAGTACAGAAGATCCTGATAACAAACTTGCAACACCCATCAACACACTATAATTGCACTAAAAAGGATGGCACTCAAATTGCACCCCATCATTCATAGATACGTCCTCCAGAAACGACCAGAAGAGTTCGGCCGATCTTGGCCATCCTGGCAATGGTGTGAATTCCCTGAAAGTGTTAAGTGTAATTGATTACCAATCAATAATATTTAGTACGTCCATTGAACATTAGAACCGTGCCTCCCCGCCATGTGAGATCTACATCTTTGCTGAAGGACCAACCACATTTCCTCAATGATGCTGCAATCATGACCGTAACAGTAACAGAAAATGACACCAGATTTTTCATTGATTGCACCCATTCAGTAATAGGGGCATGACTCACGATACGTTGTGTGCAAGTTGACCGTATCTCGCATCAGTGTCGTGATCTTCTCATCCCAGTTGTAGGTCCTTGGTGCAGAAATGAATGGCCGAGGAATAAAGAAAGTGGTCCAAACAAAATATCTCATAGGAACAGTAACATTGAACAGTTGGGACTCTTCAAGTTGAACAGCTTCCATTTGGAACATTTTTTTATTTCGGGGAAACAGTTCCAGAAAAGGTTTTCAACACCATTTCGTTCACCACATATATCTTATTGTCCATAATTAAATTAGAGATAAGTTTCGGGACCTGCTTGTTGAACAAGAGATCTTTGAATTCCATCTGGCCAACGAAGACATCAACGGAACCTTTCCCATTCAACGCATCCTTGAGGCCTCTCCATGTCATCATCTCTGATGGAAGGTGGTTATTCTTCCACCCATCGTACCTTAGTTTGCTGTTTGCTGGTGGTTTGCCATGGCAAAATCCTAACATGATAATTAAATTACACAGCGGCGGCTAGTCTATTTTGATTCAAGTTTATCATTACTCATTAACGTATAACATTAAAAACAAGATACAGCGAATGGAAGCACCATTCCACATTCTTGGACGTCTTGCTCCTCTGCACTATTACCTGAAGTTTGGTCCATGAATTGAAAACATTCTTGGAGCTGCCCTCCTCGTCAGCAGCAAGAAGAAGGTTGAGAAGGGAGGGTACAGATAGCACCCTCCGCGACAGGGTGATGCAAGTGTCCACAAACGCGTCCGTCACCTTGCCGGCACAGGAGTTGAGAGACCCCGGGCTCAAGGACATCGTCAGAGTCCCCAGTCCGCAGTCCGTGGTTGGAACATGGGGGAACATAACTAGAAACTGGTAAGAAACTGGTAACAGCCTCCAGTCAAAGGCAAGAAACTCGTTCGTCTTCGCTAGCTGGCCTGTAGCGCTCTGCGAACTTCTGGCAGAAAGCTTCCGTGCCTCCAGTATGGGGACATAGGATTAAATCAATTTTAACTTGAATGGCCAATGGGGGTTCCAAATAAATATGTTCCATCAAGCCTTGTATGTGACCCTGCTTTTTGAAAAATAATAATATAATAATGTGATTATTTATTATTGGAAACTCCGATTTATTTCGGACACCCCATTCCATGGAACATTGTTTATGGTCATGAGGCTTATGTCAAAGTCAAAATCTAATTTCAGATTCCAAGACGCTCAACGGGCCCGTGATTTTCTCAAGCCGGGCTTTGTAGTTCAGAACACTGAAGATCTTCTGAAGGCATGTGTGAGTCATGGTCTCCTGGTTGGTGGATGGGTATGTTGTGAACACTCATTGGAACCCCTTCAACACATGGTCATTCTGGCTTTGTTGGATTCAGGCAGTTCATCCAGCACACTGACTTTGGGGAAAATTTGTTATTGATTTATCATCTCGGGATTGGCATTGAGAAACCCAAGGTAAAATAATGTGGAAATTATCAATCGCATAACAGCTGAACTATGATGGTCCTGATCAGCCTTCAAGCTTTGCCGGACATTGGCACTCAGGAAATAGATTTCATCATCCGAACTCGCAATCACATACTCACAGTTGACCTTAGGTTGACCAAGAGAAGTTGGACTATTTTTGGGTGAAACCTTCTCAAACAGATTGACCATCATGTTATATTTTCATGTGGTACTGAGTGTACCAACATGAAAATTGCTAACCCAGGATATGGATATATGGAACCGGCAACCCAACTCAGATTCCACCCGACCACATAAACCAAGGGTTTTTAACCAAGGGGCACTCAGAAAGTAGCGTTTCCACTGATCCAGCTTCAACTCATCATCAATATCACGGTAGATGCTCCTGGGGCGCACACATTTTCCAGGGCTGGGTGCAACAGTTACAAGATCACCCCCTTAATGATACCATTCTTTAATGAACATCGATCCCTTGATGGTTCAATCCTTGGGGGCCGTCATCCAAATAAAAAGTCAGTGTGATCCCGAGTTCTAGCCAGGGTTCAGCAGGAAGGCAATCACATTCTCCATAGGAGAAACTGGCTTGGCTCGGGTGATATCACAACTTTGTTGCATCCAGTCAGCGGGGACTGCTAGGCAAAGGTTATCATGGAATGGTGATGGATCAGTGTAGTACCTCTCACCAATCTCGTTGATAGATTTCTGGCGAAGGGGCACCTGGTGACAACAGGGGCTGTTAAGACCAATTTGGATAAAAATGAAATAAGTTGTTCCGAATCCCAATGCATTTTTTAAAAACAAAATGAGGCATCCACCGAAGGGTCTGCATTGAAGAAGATGTCACACTTCAAGATGTTCTGTGCGCATCGGTAGCTAGAAGTCTGCTGATTCCCTGACCCAAACAAGGAGCGCTTGCACTGGTTTGCATCAAAGGCAGCCTTAGCGTTTTGGTTGGTAAACCATGGCAGGGACAGGGTATTGTCACTAAAGTGTCGAACCAGTGCAATTCCAAACAACTAGTGTGGATGGAAGAAATCCTGGATAGGTGGTTTATAATAATAATCCCTTAAATGATAGATTAAAATTAATATAATAATATTTTTATAAGGTTTAAAAAGGGTTTCTACCATGCAAAGTGGTTCAGGATTTCTTCCATCCACAACTATGGAATTATCGCCTTATTATTTTATAACATGACCGACTATTCCAAACTTTGCATATTCAGAATTACTGTAGCCCTTGTAATCGCATCCTAGAACCCTGGGTACCCCTCATTTATATTTTCACTTGAGCCGATGACAATCCCACAGTCCCTTAGTTGGAACCCGATGAGTCCTACATGCACTGCAAATGCACCACGTGGCTTGTTGTCCTCCATCTCCGATACCCAAGGCAGCTTCTTCAGCAAGACCTGGCCAGAGATCTTTGAGAGCACCCAAGGCTTCTTGGGCCGACTGGAGCAGCTCCACATTGTAGGCAGCTCCTCAATGGTAATGACTTCATTGGGATGAATGTCATGATGTGATTTGAGTTGAAGATCATGCTAAGACATTCAATAATAAGTAATATTAATAATAATAATAACTTCTCTAAGTATCTGAATTGAAGGCTAGTGACCGTTTGGAGCAATGGCCTCCGCATTCTCTTGATCTAGCAAGGGTGTGTGGGAAACCGCTGTTTTGGCTTTCCCCTTGCTGCTTTGCCGCTTTTGGGGCGGCATGGAAAAAGAGGCCCCGCCCCACGTATAACGACGCAAAACAAAATGATCATATTCTAAATGATCACAAAATTAAAAGATTTCCAACTCCCACTGCTTGTGTGCGTGACCTTCGTCCGCAATGGGCTGAGCCTTGAACCAAATGGGAAGATGATTGGAGAATCTGATTTGTACTTAAAGGTCAATTAAAAAAATCGAAAAAAATGCAAAAAATCCAAGCTGCTGTTAAGCAAATCACCTTGGCCAGCATGGGGCCAAATCTACCCTCCCCTGGCCAAGGTCCGGAGCGCTCCCGAGGTTGGCCAGCCCCTCCCCTACTATCTTAACAGCAGATTGAAAATATTCCGAGAGGCTGGCCAAGGTCCAAAAAGTACGCCCCATTCAAAGTTGTGTATGGGCTGGCCAAGGTCCAGAGCGCTCCCGACGTTGGCCAGCATGGGGTCTAATCTATCCTCCCCTGGCCAAGGTGATTTGCTTAACAGCAGCTTGATGTTTTCTATGAAATCACCAGTTTGTAAACCGTAAAACAGTCCAGAGCGCTCCCGAATGTTTTAAGACATTTGAATTCCATCCTTAAAACAGTCCAGAGCGCTCCCGAATGAGTTCCCTAAAACAGTCCAGAGCGCTCCCGAACGTTTTAAGACAATTGAATTCCATCCCTAAAACAGTCCAGAGCGCTCCCGAATGAGTTACCTAAAACAGTCCAGAGCGCTCCCGAACGTTTTAAGACAATTGAAATCCATCCCTAAAACAGTCCAGAGCGCTCCCGAATGAGTTACCTAAACCAGTCCAGAGCACTCCCGAGCGTTTTAAGACAATTGAAATCCATTGAATACTGAGACCACAAAATGCAAATATTTGCACTTTAGGCACTTAATGAATTTATAAGTATACTATAAGTTACTATTATCCTTCTAATATCTTGTTCAAATTGTTTTTTTCAAAAATATTTTGTTATAAGTTCCACTAAATTTTTAGGTGAACTTATAACATAATAAGGAAAATATAAGCAAATATAGTAGAATATTAGTCAAAAATAAGCCAAAATAAGCGAAAAGAAGTGATAAGAAGTGAAATTTGATTTTTATGTGTGTTTGATAGATTCGCAGGAATGTTGATTTTCGACGAAACAATATTGTCTCAGAGCACTACTTTTCTGACGAAACCTTCCTGAACAGGAATATGCTGCTAAAGAACAATTCTCTGAAGGCGCCTATTTGGAAAAAAAAATGGTAGGAAAAAAAAATGTAGGGACAATTTCTCTGCAGGATACTTCCTGAAAAGGAAAAAATTGTAGGGAATAGTTCTCTGCAGGATACTTCCTGGAAAGGAAAAAAATTGTAGGGAATAGTTCTCTGCAGGATACTTCCTGGAAAGGAAAAAAAATGTAGGGAATAGTTCTCTGCAGGATACTTCCTGGAAAGGAAAAAAAATGTAGGGAATAGTTCTCTGCAGGATACTTCCTGGAAAGGAAAAAATTGTAGGGAATAGCTCTCTGCAGGATACTTCCTGGAAAGGAAAAATTTTGTAGGGAATAGTTCTCTGCAGGATACTTCCTGGAAAGGAAAAAAAATGTAGGGAATAGTTCTCTGCAGGATACTTCCTGGAAAGGAAAAAAATTGTAGGGAATAGTTCTCTGCAGGATACTTCCTGGAAAGGAAAACATTTGTAGGGAATAGTTCTCTGCAGGATACTTCCTGGAAAGGAAAAATTTTGTAGGGAATAGTTCTCTGCAGGATACTTCCTGGAAAGGAAAACTTTTGTAGGGAATAGTTCTCTGCAGGATGCTTCCTGGAAAGGAAAAATTTTGTAGGGAATAGTTCTCTGCAGGATACTTCCTGGAAAGGAAAAAAATGTAGGGAATAGTTCTCTGCAGGATACTTCCTGGAAAGGAAAATTTAGAAAATTCAGAAAATTCAGAAAATTCAGAAAAAATCAGAAAATTCAGAAAACTCAGAAATTTCAAAAATTTCAGAAAATTCAGAAAACTCAGAAAATTCACAAAATTCAGAAACCCAGAAAATTCAGAAAATTCAGAAAAGTCAGAAAATTCAGAAAATTCAGAAACCCAGAAAATTCAGAAAATTCAGAAAATTCAGAATTTACAATTTAAATTAAAAGGAAAACAATTCAGAAAATTCAGAAACCCAGAAAATTCAGAAAATTCAGAAATTTCAGAAAATTCAGAAAATTCAGGAAATTCAGAAAATTCAGGAAATTCAGAAAATTCAGAAAAAATCAGAAAATTCAGAAAACTCAGAAATTTCAGACATTTCCGAAAATTCAGAAAATTCAGAAATTTCAGACATTTCCGAAAATTCAGAAATTTCAGAAAATTCAGAAAATTTCAGAAAATTCAGAAAATTCACAAAATTCAGAAACCCAGAAAATTCAGAAAATTCAGAAAAAAATCAGAAAATTCAGAAAATTCAGAAAATTCAGAAATTTCAGAAAATTCAGAAAATTCAAAAATTTCAGAAAATTCAGAAAACTCAGAAAATTCACAAAATTCAGAAACCCAGAAAATTCAGAAAATTCAGAAAAGTCAGAAAATTCAGAAAATTCAGAAAATTCAGAAACCCAGAAAATTCAGAAAATTCAGAATTTACAATTTAAATTAAAAGGAAAACAATTCAGAAAATTCAGAAACCCAGAAAATTCAGAAAATTCAGAAATTTCAGAAAATTCAGAAAATTCAGGAAATTCAGAAAATTCAGAAAATTCAGAAAATTCAGAAAAAATCAGAAAATTCAGAAAACTCAGAAATTTCAGACATTTCCGAAAATTCAGAAAATTCAGAAATTTCAGACATTTCCGAAAATTCAGAAATTTCAGAAAATTCAGAAAATTCAAAAATTTCAGAAAATTCAGAAAACTCAGAAAATTCACAAAATTCAGAAACCCAGAAAATTCAGAAAATTCAGAAAAAAATCAGAAAATTCAGAAAATTCAGAAAAAATCAGAAAATTCAGAAAACTCAGAAATTTCAGACATTTCCGAAAATTCAGAAAAAATCAGAAAATTCAGAAAACTCAGAAATTTCAGACATTTCCGAAAATTCAGAAAATTCAGAAAATTCAGAAATTTCAGAAAATTCAGAAAATTCAAATTTCAGAAAATTCAGAAAACTCAGAAAATTCAGAAAATTCAGAATTTACAATTTAAATTAAAAGGAAAACAATTCAGAAAATTCAGAAACCCAGAAAATTCAGAAAATTCAGAAAATTCAGGAAATTCAGAAAATTCAGAAAATTCAGAAATTTCAGAAATTTCAGAAAATTCAGAAAATTCAGAAAATTCAGGTAGAGAAAAAAAAGGATAAGTAAGTATTTATAATAATGTCAATCAAGTTAGGATTAATAATTCCCTGCGGTTAATCAACCACCAAAATCTCAGCAAAAAAAACGTATGAACAAAGTATGCGAAATCAAAAGAAAGTAAATTGTAGAACAATATGAACAATAAAACATAAATAGCAATTATAGAAAATACATTTTCAAAACAAAAAGCAAGCCAGCTAGCTTTAAATCTTTTACCAACAAAAAATATAATAGAATATTTTCCAAATTAGGTATCCATCTTCATCCCTGAATTATGTAGTTTGGAAGTAGTAACCGAAGCCTCATGTTGTGAAAGATCTCATTCTGGGCAGTCGTATACAATTGAAGAAGACACATCAAAAGAGCAATTGTTCTTTCCAAGAAGCATCCTTTATATGTTTTTTTCCGTTTGCCTCTGAATGATTTCTCCACAGATGTACTTCAAGATTCTTTGTGTCACTCGCAGCCGCGCATATTCCTGTAGAAGAACCATTTCCTGTAGAAGATAACTCCTGAAAAGCATTGTTCCTGAAAATGAAATCAATCTGAATAGAAAGATTCCTGTTAAGGATAGTTCCTGAAAAGGATTCATTCTGAATAAAAAAAATCCTGAAAGGATAAGTCCTGAAAAGGATAATTCCTGAAAAGGATAAATCCTGAAAAGGGTGATTTCTAAAAGGATGATGCCTGAAAAGAATGAAAAAAAACAATGAAAAAAGGCAAGAAAAAAATATTCCAAAGGAAACAAAAAGGTCGACAACTATTTTCAAAAAATATATAACAGAAAAATGCATCGTCTATAATCAATTCTGATCATCAAAAAAAACATTGAAAAATAAGTGAAAACAAGTAAAAATAAAGAAAAAACACTTCTATGATAAGTTCATATAACTACTAATATCTTCATTAAGTGCCTAAAGTGAAAATATCTTCATTTTGTGGTCTTAGTACCATCCCTAAAACAGTCCAAAGCTCCCGAACGTTTTAAGACAATTGAAATCCAGCCCCAAAACAGTCCAGAGCGCTCCCGAAGAGTGGGGGATGTTTCAAGACAATTGAATTTTGAACATTGGGGAAAATACATCGATCTTAAAACCATTGTTCGCCTTTATTGATTTCTTCCATGTCATAGTGTGTGGCTACTAAAGGTTGGAAATTGGATTTTCTCGGATACCACCATGTGGCACTTGGCACTTGAGTTCAGCACCAGGCACACGGTTAATAGCCATGCTTGAGGGTTGTCCCACTAAGTAATTTCATAATGGTTGGAGAACCCAAGCCATCATGTGGGGGTAGAATAACCTTTTGGGGATTCTCCCACTGAAATCAAGGACCCAGGCCAGGGTTGTTCCCCTGGAATTGTACTGGTGTAACATGTAAACATTGGAGTACCCAAGATTTCCCCACTGGAATCGTAATGGTGTAATGATTGCCCGGCTGGAATGGTTGTAACCCTTGGAAGGCCCAAGCCATGAATTGGGGAGTTTCCAGCTGGACTGATAATGTTGTAATCAATGGAGGACCCTGGCATATAATATTATTGTTGGCATATAATCACTGCGATTGCTTTATAAAAATTTCTGGTAAATCTATTTTGACCCATCAAATCCAAGCACCCGCCAAGAGCGACCCGAAGACATGTCAAAGACAATATTATAAATAAAATTTGGTTTTCTAAGATGAGAAGTTATGGTAATGATAATATTGCTTTGAAGCCTTCGGTTGAAAGTTTGCTGTTTTCTCTCCGAAGTGAATGCCACACTATTGTGGTCGTGTTGTTTGAAGTTCCCCTTCAAACACCCCAGTGGCGAACCATCTCGCGGCTCCCATCAATTTCCCTGAAAAAAGAAATGGCATCAGAACTTGTCAGCTTCAAAAGAAGGTGCTTCAACTCCTTAGCCGAACTCAAGGTGGATTAGGTAAGATTGGTTATTACACCCCCCTGGCTAAAGGAAACTTGCATCAATTGCAACTGACTGTGTCAGACATTATTGGCTATACTTCCTCGTTCAGCATCGAGGATGTCGTGCTCGTCAAGAAACATATTGATGAGGGATTGCAAGATCATGGGTCTACTACTTGGCAGCTTATTCAAGGACATGGAACATGCTTACCGCAAGAGGGCCGCGGGATGCCACCCCGACAAAAGAGGGGCTCGGAAGAGTGCTTCCTTGCCCTGACAGAAGCCCACGATCGGCTCGTGATTTGCCAACACTGGCACCGAATATCTTCAACGACATGGTCATGGAGAAGATCACATGAGATGTTAAGATTAAATAGACAATTATTATTTTTAATCTGGCCAGTAATGATTCAATAATTTAGAATTAGTTTTGAACAGATAACCCAGTGAAGTAAGAGATTCAGATATCTTCGAGCCGGAACCCTGGCCACCCATGAAAAAGGGTTGAAAGCCAAAGTTGCGGGGTCTGTCTTTTGCTCCTCGGCCGTGACAAAGGCGATTGCACGCTCACCCACCGTCTTGAACTTCGCCACTCGTTCCTGAGCGGCAGGACAGTGTCAGGAACAAGGGTTTGGCAGGTGGTGTAACATGGCAATCCCAAACCCTTTTTTTGATTCAGACTTCAGCAACTGCATCCACTAAAATTAGCAGAAGTAAACAACAAGATTTCCTTTGAAACGGGCCCAAGGTGAAAGAGGTCCTGGCCAAGAATGTTCCTTATGCGCGCGAAGCCCCCAAGATTAATTTCGACTGAGTTTTTCATACAAAGGCAAAAACTCGGTCGAAATTAATCTTGGAGGCTTCCAGGCCAGGACCCCTTTCACCTTGAGGACCCCTTTCAAAGGAAATCTTGTTAAACTTGGTTCTCGAGTATACTTGACAGCGAGGTTCAAGAAATTGTTCTTTGCTACTCACCTGTTTCCATGGGGGTGATGGAGCACCATCCAAGACAGTTGCACAACGTGGGTTCTCCCGCCGAAATCCGGGACTGATCCAGAAATCTCGCTTGGTTGAGGCAGAAGCTTTCCTGGGGTAGCTTGCTGGATGAGACTTATTCAACCTAAGGGCCTACCCTGGCCAGTACCTGAAACTGTTAAAAAGCTATGAATCAAACAAAAAAGAATTGGTTACGTATTTGTTTTGTTCTATTTGCAGCTTCGACACTTGTATGGAACTAGCAGGCCATGTTTTCCCCCAGACAAGAAGAATTTTGGAGATGCCACATACCTTGGAGTACAAGGCTCCCATGGCTAGAGCAATTTCTGCCTTCCTAGTAAACAGTTCACAGCACCATCACTACCGCCATGATTGCGCGTGCCAAAAAAGATTCTCATTGGGTTCATCGCGAGTAATTTGGGTTATAGAAGAGGGGAGAGTGTGACGCGAGAACCCAACAACAAAACAGTTTAAAGTGTAGTCACTAACTTCCGAGTTGCGGACAACAAAACATATAACCCTTTGCCATCATACCCTTGCTTTAAATGCTCATTTGAAACCAACAAAATATATAAATGGGAAAAACCTTTGGATGTCAAGCTGCAGTCCTTTCAAAAATGCAGCGACGGATGCACTAACCTTGGGTTTGAAAGGGTCCTTCTGCACAATGACATTCAAGTGGCACCTGGGATTGGGTCCCCTTAGATAGCGAGGATGTGTGTATACGAAGATGAAGATGGAGATGAAGAATTTTCTGATGGTGGGTGATGGTGGATGCTGTTGGTGATGGTGATGATTAAGATGATGGTGATGATGATGATGATGATGGTGATGATTGTGATGATGATTTATGACGGTGATGATGATGGTGATGATGATAGTGATATTTTATCATGTTGAAGAAGAAGAAGATGATGATGATGATGGTAATGATGACGGTGATGATGATGATGATGGTGATGATGATGATGGTGATGTGATGATGATGTGATGATGATGATGATGATGATGATGATGACGTGATGATGTTGATATGATGATGATGGTGGTGATGATGGTGGTGATGATGATGGTGATGATGATGATGGTGAGGATGATGATGATGATGATGATGATGATGATGTTGAAGGTGACAATGGTGACAATGGTGATTATTAAAGTAACGATGATGATGTGGTGATGTTGTTGTTGTTGATGATGATGATGATGATGTGATGGTGATGATTGTGAGGAGGATGTTGAGGATGATGATGATGGTGATGATGGTGATGATGGTGATGGCAATGGTGATGATGGAGTTGATGGTGGTGATGGTGCTGAAAATGATAATGATGGTGATGATGGTGATGATGATGATGGTGGTGGTGGTGATGATGATGATGATGATGTGATGGTGATGTCGGTGAGGATTATGTTGATGATGATGATGGTGATGTTGGTGAAGTTGGTTATGATTATGGTATTTGCCAAGGGTATGTTTTTTTTTTTTTATCTTGTTCAAAGTGGACGCATACAGAATTACAATCCAAGAAGCATAGTGGTGACCAGTTTGCAGCCACATTTCTTGATAGCATCCCGCAGTTTGCTTTGACCCGTGGGATTCAAGACTTTCATGTCACTGAAAGGTAAAGCTTTCGTCTTTGGGCCTTGTGGCATGTCACAGAAAGAACAAATGTGGTTGGCAAATGTGGTTGTCCTTCGAGGGCCCCCCATCCCGAGCCTTCCACAGCTTCTTCACCTGGGCTGGTAGTTGGAAACCAGGCTAGTTTTTCTAGTCACCCAAGACAAAATTGAGATGGCTGAAACATAATCATACAGAATCAAACTTATATGTGACAAGTGACGCCTTTGTAAATTCCACATGTAGAATAGAAACTTCTTCCCTCAGTCGCTTTCGGTCCTTGAAAATGAGGCCCTGCTTGAACGCATCAAGACCTGAGTGGGATGGCATACGGTTGAATTTTATTGTCCGACCATTGATGATTTTAAAAAGAATTGGTTAAACCTTAATTGCCAAAAATTGTTGATATAAAACCAACCCCCACTCTTTATAATAAAACCTATATAGTGGCACTTGAAAATTTGTTAATTACAAACTAAAACACGTCTGGAAAATTCCTTCTTCTGGTTAAGCCGCTTCTCCTTTTCGTGGTTTGATGTCCACATCCTCTTGGCCATTCTGGAAATGACACTCCTCTCCACAATGGCTTTTGTGTTTTCACCGGATTTTACTGCCTTCTGGACTGCCTCCCGCCGGGATGTTAGCCATTGCTTTGCATTTCCCCATCGCTTTTTTCCCCCAAGATTCGACTTCCTTCTCATAGTCAGCCGGCTCGTGGACTCAGTGGCTGGTGGACTCAGTGCTGAGAGGGGGTTGGGATTGGAAAGTGTTTATACCACGTGTTTGTACCAAGCTGCCTTCCGCATTGAGCCATAACACCTCGCCTCAGGCACTTTGCCACAAGCCCGAATAACTTTACGACAGCGATCGAAAAAAATGTGATTTTCCATTAATTTTGATGATATTATTTCCATAGTAGTCAAAGCACTATGAAACATTATGGCCAAGAATAGTATGTCATGTTGTTTATTTTATATGAATGCTGGACCCTAGCCACCAGGTTAAGTCAAGTTACCCATTCAACTTGAGCTAGTCGTATTAACCTCAGCTCAAAGCAATGGTGGACACAGTTTTGATTAGAAACCAGGGGACGGGAAACAATTTTATCTGGGAAAAAAGGGTCTTGGAAATGGAGGGTCTATGACCGGAAAGTCTTTGCAAAGAGTTGTGATTGTTTTTTCCAATGAATTGACGTGTCACTTAATTTAATATCGTCATTTTCAAACAGATTTTGTTTCATGCCAAGAAACTCATCTTGGTTTCCATCAAAGTGTGTAGCCCAAAGTTCGTCCGAAGCTAAGTCAACAGTGACTTCCCGGCGGCCCTTTAACCATCCACCTCTACTGAATGTCCGCTCAACACCAGAGCTGCTGAACCCCCAAGCAACTGATCGGAGGACCAGTTGCCTAAGATGGGGGGATGGCATTTTCCGTGTTTCATCTCGCTTTACCTTGGTTAAATGGCCCGGCGTAAGCTGGGCAGAACTTGAAACCCAAAGTAAAAGGGCATCCGTAAAATGTAAATTAGCTATGTTGACACTCTTAGACCACTGGTTGTGATTCATTTTCGCCTTAGGCCCCAAACCCCAGCATGCCAAGTTGCAGCTTCAACCCAAGCTTCCACTGGGTCCATCTTGTTCCGCTTCTGCAGGGCCATAGCCAGTGGCCGCACGCGGCCAACTTCAAGGATGAGCTCGTCCTCAGAATGGTGGGGGCCGTAACTTTATTCAGGGCTCATGTCACGGCTGTAAAGGGGTTTGGAGGGATACAAAATGAACCCTAAATTTACTTGATTCAGCTAAGTTTCAGGAGGGAAATCAAAGAAGGTGGCTATGCGCCGAAGGCAGTCATCCCCTTCTCGGTTGTTGTGTAGCATCCCAAGAAACATTGCCATCGAAGACATGATCTCATATTGCGGAACTTCAGCTTTGATTGACTCTTTGCAAAGCTGCACCCAATTGGATAGCCTAAGAAAACAGGCCATTGAAAAACCAGACCCAAAATAGTATTTCTTTAAAACATTCAGAATTCATCTGGTTTGACTTTAATTGGTTGGGACCAAAGAACTTTGCAGTGACACGGGCAACAACCCCCGCATCCACACGTGAGCCACCCAGCACTTTGACGATGTTGTGTCCCGGCGTTTTCAGTCGAATGGTGAGAGGGTCTTCTTGCAAACGTCGCCTAAGTTCAGCATGTTACGAATGATGGCCAGGTGTAGATAGTTACAAACTCTGGTTCTGATAGACTTGAACTGAGTAGAATTGTTTGGGGCTGATTTCATAATTTATTATTTTTAATTAAATAATAATCATATAATATATAAATATAATAATATATCAATTTGGCATCCCCCATTTCCACATCTTACACGGTGTGGCAAGGCAAGGCACAAGGTCATCGCGGAATATGTCCCATGCAAGTTCCAGACATGTCCTTCCGTGAAAAGGTACTCGATGGTTTCAATAAACCTTGGTGTTTGGGGAAGTGCTAGGGCATCAGCTAACCATTTTTGTATACCTAAAATGTGAACAATTGTCATTGATCAAGACTATGTAAAGTTTCCTGGGGCCGTAATGGGGGAGATATCAACAATCGACTATAATGGGCAAGTAGCCGAGAGAGACCTGAATGCAACTTGATTATATCAAAGCACTCTTCATCAGCTATGCGCACCAAGAGCATGTGCTCATCAAATGCATCAGCCAACGCCGATAAGGTCCTGAGCACTTGTCACTAGATTCGTCCTACCAAAATTAATCATGGTAATAGCGAACTCCTGGTACTTTAACGACAATGACCTATTTTTTCATGTGAGCCTTCAAAATACCAGTTATTATGCCAATTAGACCAGTGGCAGGATTCGTTCAACTGTCAGCCACTTCAGCAGTTCGAGAGCTTTGCGCCCTTCCACCTAGAAAGAACATCAGAATATCAAAAAGTGACAGCATGACTTTGATTGAAACCAGTTCAAGCACGATTCTAGGTAAACCAGAGACACCTTGCCAGCTCGTTCCATTGCAATTCCTTCCTGAGGTCAATGGAAATTCCAGCATCCTAAAATGGAGGTACTGACCATATGGGTATATTCCCTTTACATAGGCCTTATAGGCCTTATATATGTTAGGTACCTCTAATTTAGGTTCCTGAAATGGCCATTGATGAGGTGACACATGGATCATCAAAGGGTTTTTTTGAACATGTTGGACACACCCAGCAACATAAAACTGCTGTTTATTTTGTCTTGCCTTCAGGGACCCATCCAAACAGTGACACATCGATCACCAATTTCTCTTTTAATCCTGTTTAGATTTTACCCAGGCTTGAACCCCGTCAAAAACTATTCCAAGACTCGCACACCATAAGTACGGAGTACAGGTGGATCACCAGCTTCGACAGGGGCGTCCGAAGAGATTCAAACCTCAATGCCACAGCATACAAGAATAGGCAGAGGATCTAAGGGAAACCCGGGTTTCAGACCTAAAATAAAACTAGAATATTGTTTTGTTGGACTGGAGTGGATTCATTGCAAAATACCAACTCTGCCCCACCCGTCCAAAACCCCCTCTGCCTGTGCTTGGCTGCACTCATGGATCTCGTAGACCACCCCGTGTTCTCCTTGACTTTGGCTGCAAAGCGTGCCTGCCAATCAGGGGGTACCACCGTTGATTAAGAAAGGGATCAAAAGCTTTTGAACTTAATGTGAAAGCTCAACAACCCAGAAGCCAGGCTGCAGTTTAATTTTGTTTTCCCTGTCGTGCTCTCCCTCTTCTATCTATGTCTCAGTGCTGGAATTCCAACATCAAATGAATTTGAAATTACAAACTGGCCAGCTAAGACTCAAAATAAGCTGCATTGGCGCGTCGCAACTGGGAATTAAACAATTGCGTGTTGACCACAACGTGTCGGGTCTCACTAAGCCGTTCCTCTGGGGGTGGTTCTTGACCAAGAATCCAAGTCTCTTCATCATCAACAACAATAGTGTCACCATCATCTCCAAGAAAAGGGGTCTGAATGAAGCCCTCATCACGAGGAAACTTGGCCAACTTGGGCTTCCCATCATCAAACTGATCGACTTCATAGAACTTGGTATCATCCCCACCCAAGTCCACCTTGCCATCCCCGAACTCAGGCAAAGGATCAGAATCACGATCATCACTTAACTTGGACAAAGGGGAGCGGGGACATTCCATGTCAGATCCTGAATCCCCATCATCCAACACCGTAACATCATCCTCCCAGAACGGAAATTCGTCATCAGTATCAGGTGGTTGGGAGTCAGGTTCTGGAAAATATTTCTGAGCTGGCTCAATGCCACGCTTGGCAAATTTGCCCTTGATCTTGAGCAGGCTTGTCAAAGTCCCCGCTTTCTGTGACCTTGGTTGGGGTATTCAGTAGGCACTTATAATTCTAGGATTCTGAATTTGAAAAACAATTTGAGAAAAACAATCTTGACCTTGCCTTTCTTCATTTTTTCTATGCCCCTCACATTAAATTAACCACACAGTCAGTCAAGCCGCATTTTGGAAAGCATGATGGCAACTCCAAGGACAGTAAGTCGGCCAACGCTTTAGCCCCAGCTCTTCTTGATCCAAAATGGTTCTGAACTGATTAAGATTGAGTTGTGTTCTTTTCAAGCCACATGCAGCTTGCATCTTGACAAATATGGCAAAAACATGTTTGAACCAAAACAACTTCCCAACCAGAGACCGCCAGCCTTGAACAAGTGAGAGTTCTCAATCATTTGAGCTGGGCTGTGCTTCCCGTAAATGCATGTCTGCAACCTGAGGCAGGCAGGGGTGGACCCAAGTGAAGTTCAAGTGGGATTCAATTGAAAATCAAACGTCAGTTGCAATGATAGAAACATCCTTTTCCCTTTTAATACACCCACATCCCATCATCCTCATCCCACCAGCCAAGAAACACTTCCTTGAGCTCATCATCTGCAAAAACCGGGCGTTGTGCCACCCTGCCAAATCCCAAACCGCCCTTAAAAAAAATAGATTTAGAAAGGGTCCAATCATGGCCAGTCCCCTTCAAAACAAAACACTGTTGGCTCAAACCAACAGAGCATTGCCGGATGAAACCCCAACAAGAATCTTTGAATTTGAATCCAGTCAAGAATTGTGGTTTTGGAAACCCACATCATATTTGTAAAATACGATTTGAACCCCAAAACATCATTGGTTTCAAACTGTTTCAACCCATCACTTGCCTCCGAATGGCGTGTGCCAGATCTTGGCAGCGCACACGGATGTTGGGGAAGTAGCCTTCACTATCCAAGTCACCACTCAGCGCAGCCTCAGAACTTTGGACTGGGAACCCATTGAACTACTAAACATAGCTAAACTCGGTGCCCCCTACTTAGCCAAGGTGATGTTGAATTAAATTTAACTCGCTTTTCTTTAAACGCGAAAATTTTCTGGCGTTACAAATTTGCATTCTATTTTTTGGTGATCCAAAAACAAATCCTTGACTGAATTGAACAAACATGAATCCCAGCGGACAAGAACCCTTGAACTCATATCTTGGATCAGCAACTAGAGCAAGCTGCTCATCTGCTGCTGCATCGGCAGTGAGAACTTCAGTTCGGTGACGGATTTTTTGGATCGCCTTTTTGTAGTGGGTCCTTAGATGCACCACCCAGTCCATTCCAACCCCCTAGCTTCCCCACCAGCTCTTTAGCCTTAAAGGTGTCCCCAAGTGCGCTTCACACACATCGTCTGACGTGGTGAAATCCTCTTACACATATTTGCATCAGACTGTTCTCAGTCCTGAAAAAGTTTTCATTTTTTGAAATTCGATTTTTTCAATTCAACAAACCGAGAAACCGTCCCCGCTTGCTGTATGGCATCATCTTGGTTGGTGTGGCAAACTCCTCGATGATTCTCTGCGTAGCATGGGCGACCTTGTACGCATGAACTTGTCCAAGCTGCGCAAGTGGGAAAACACCTAGCACACCCACACATGGGCGGAGGCTTCTATTGGAACCAGAATACCTCAAGCAGAGCCATCCACAGGATGCATCCTGCACCAGTGAGAGTGCAGTTGCTTCACACCTCAGATAGATCGTGCATAGCCTTTTTAAGCAAACCTTGAACTGGAACCCTTCCATCAAACCTTTTGGAGCTAGGCGCCCTTGGCGCTTCGGAAAAAAACATGTTTTCCCACCCCGGCTTCACTACACGATGATTTCTTATTGTAACTCTCAGAACTTTTAACAGGAACTTGTGGTTTCAATGTTTTTCAAAATCATAATTGATGGTAATGACTGGGGTGAATCATTGTAGATAATATAATATCGGCAGTTTGCTGCCAAGATACACATCAATCAGCATGAGTTTTCGCGCGGCTTCACCCAGGCATGCCTTTAGCTGCCGCAACTTCATTCTGCCCTCAGATGTTGGGGCCCCAAGATGGCACAGGTTGCCTCACTAACTTAACCCAACAGAAATTGAATATGATGGAGGGATATTGAAGAGAAACTGTTAAGAAATTAGTTGTTGTCACCAATCCCAGTCACAAATTCTCCTTCTTCGGGTGAATGGTTGGCTTTGGAACATCTCTGCAGCACTTTTCGAAACATACCCGCTGGAGGCACCTTGGGATGCCCAAATGAATTCCAAAACCATTGGAGCTAAATAACTTTGCATGTCGTTGTTATGCAAACCGATGAGAAACTGAGATTTGGGCACGTTTTCCATTCACCAAGGGGGGGTCATCACCAGTTGATTTTGCAACAGCCATTCGATGCCCGGAAGTCGCATCGTGTTGCGCGAGCCATTGCGTTCTCACCAAAGCCTGAGGCCACCAGTGGAGCTGAACAAACACCAGTGGAGGATGCTGGAAGCTGGGATGATGATGGTGATGGTGATCATGGGGATGATAATATCTATTAATTATTATTCATATATAATCTGGCCAGTACTATATATATAATAATTTAATATAACTAATGTCAAATTTATGACGGGTCTATTTGATACCACATGCCATTTAGTATCAAACAAATAGTCAACTGTCCATGAATCGGGGGATTCCCAAATCTTGTTTATTGACCCTGGGGCAGTCACAGGGATTAAACAAACATATGGATATTAAAAAGGGAGTTGGGAAAGTTGGGACACTCAACTGAGTGGTCGCCCTAAATAATAAATAAATGGTTTATTCAGGGGTTCCCAAATAGCTATCAGATTAACGAATAGCTGTTAGCTGGGCCAACAAAAAAAATCAAACACTCAATCCTGATAAGAAACTTTCCGGCAGGCCGTGAACTTACTCCAGGAGGATTGAGTAACCCCCGCTGCAGCGCATATGCTGCATCCTAAACCTGTTTGTTGCACTTCGAGCCACGGATACGTTTCCTTCCATTCGTCAAAATGCTTCCAGATATGGGCGTTCCATACCTGGGGTATAGGGGAGAGCCATGACGATTGTGTATGTATGTATAATAATATTAAAAAGATAAAATAAATATTATATTATATTTAATTATAATATATTAATAATTATATATCTAAAATATAAATAATATCTTATTATTATTTCGTCATATTATACAATATAAAATATTTGAATATCACATAATTTTAATTTACAATTATACAATAAAATAAAAAACTATATAAAATTAATATAGTATAATATAATATTTTAATATAATATAATATTTAAATATAATATAATATAATATAAGATAATATATTACAATATAACAAAATAAAACATAATAGAATTTATATAATAAAATTTATTATAATAAAATATTATATAATAAATTATAATAATACTACAGCTATAATTTAATATAATAATAACATTTTATGAAATAATATATATAATCATATAATATATCATAATATAATATAATTTAATTTAATATAATGTAATTTAATATAATATAGTATAATTATATATATATATATAATATTACTAAAATTTATAACATGATATAATATATTATATTATAACAATGACATATCTTATTTTGAAGACTCACAGACTTGCCCACTAAAAGGGAGCCAAGTGTCTGAACGACGAACGCTCGCAAGCAAGACCATGGCCCACAATGGCACTTTCGGATCAGAACCACATTGCTGTGCTTTTGTTGTTTTCATGACAGTAAGTCCAGTTTGTGAAATCCAGGCTGCCATGTAATTGTTGGGCTACTCACTGACAGATTCCACAAATCCATCCATCACTATAGTAATCAAGTGAAATTTAGTCAAAAATACATTGCTGTAAATTATTGTTGTCAGATTTTTCATTGTAAAGTTTATTGTAAAGTTTATTGCCGGGTTCACCCGGCACTTCATTGAGCTGACGCCCCTGCAAGACCCAAAGCAGTGCCCAATCACTCCGACCAACATGGCCATCAGCAGCCTGATCTCTGAGGTTCTGGCTGGCTGCAGCAGCCACGCAGTGCAGGGGCGGTTGCGAGCTGCCGGCCCCTTTTTCTATGGGCCAATGGTATCTTATGAACGAAATAAATTGGTCAGTTACCAATTTTCTCAAAGGCGCCTCGTCATCACTTATCTCTGGGTCTGACACATCATTGGGTATATACCTATACCTGCTGGGAAGTCATTGTTTGAAATATTAGCCTGCACTTTTTACTTATCTTAACAGCAGGCCAGTTATGGCTGTTCAAACGCAAGCTTGAACAAATTCCCTTTTGCACGTGCCACAACCCCAATCCAAAGACACGTTCATCTCCACAGCTACCCACAAGCAAAGAATGTGCCTCCGCGCTTCCAGAAGCAGAATTGCACAAACTGTGTTTTGCACAGTGCACGTACAGTGCACGGTACAGTGCATGCCACAGTGCACGGCCACAAAACGCTGTAAATACCATGGGATTGGCGTTTTGTTGACAATTTACAAAAAACTATGGAAATATTTTAATAGTTTCTTTGTTTTGTGTTTTTTGATTATTTTTGGGAAAAGACGTGGTATTTACAGCGTTTTGTGGCCGTGCACTGTACAAGGCAGAACCCAGCAGCACAAGGCAGAACCCAGCAGCACAAGGCAGAACCCAGCAGCACAAGGCAGCGGCAGCAGCAGCAGCATCAGCAGGCAGAACACAGCAGGCAGAACCCAGCAGGCAGAACCACAAGCAGGCAGGACCCGCCACAAGCGGGCAAAACCAGCACAAGCGTGCCCCAGAACCCAGCAGCAGCAGGCAGCAGAAGCAGCAGAGCACAGAGCAGGCAGAACCCAGCAGCAGCACGCAGAACCCAGCGCAAGCGGGCAGAACCGAGCACAAGCAGGCAGATTCCAGCAGGCACAGATTCAGCAGGGGACGGAACCATACAGAACCTAAATATAATAAATTTCAATGGGCACGCCTCTCACCGAACTATTGACAATGGCACCACCATAAAATTTGCAATCAATACCATACAGGGTTAAGTAGAATCATGTCAACAATACACTGCCCACAGCGATGAAACAGTATTCGAATCAATAACAGCCAGTCAAATAAAGAAAAGAACTATCAAAATCTAAACGAAACACTGCGCGCACGCAGGTGTGATACGACTTCAGGTCACTTGGTACGACGTAAGCCTAGTGGTAGTAGTTCAGAAGCTATCCAGCAGCAGTTTGGCAGTAGCCAGCGGCAGCAACTGAGCAACAGCCAGCAAATGAGCAGCAGTTTAACAGTAGTTGCTAAATACAGTTGAACGTACAGAAGTCACTGATCGAAGGAAGTTTAGAAGTGAAACTTCCGACAATATGGACAGTTGAAAAGCAGAGGTGAGAAGAGTCAGAAGAGACAAGATCAGAAAGAAGATGCAGATGCGCGAAAAGGTAGGAAAGTCGCGATTCACTGTGTTTTTCCAATTGATTTGTGGCTCCGGAGGGTCGAAAAGTAGGCTCGCTAAAGTGGCGGGTGCGGAGCCAGCTGGCCAGATGAGACATGAAAAAGTGCACACCGTTGTGGCGCGAAGCACATTTCCAAGTCAAAATGGACAAAACACTGAAGGAACGGACCACTTTTGGAAGTTGAGATGTCGAAAAAGTGCACGCCATTGTGGCGCGAAGCACATCTTGAAGTCAAAATGTGCAAAGCACACCATGGTCGGACCACTTTTGGAAGTTGCGATGTCGAACAAGTGCACGCCGTTGTGGCGCGAAGCACATTTTGAAGTCAAAATGTACAAAACACACCATGGTCGGACCACTTTTGGAAGTTGCGATGTCGAAAAAGTGCACGCCGTTGTGGCGCGAAGCACATTTTGAAGTCAAAATGCACAAAGCACACCAATGTCGGACCACTTTTGGAAGTTCCGATGTCGAAAAAGTGCACGCCGTTGTGGCGCGAAGCACATTTCCAAGTCAAAATGCACAAAACACACCATGTTCGGACCACTTTTGGAGGTTCAGATGTCGAAAAAGTGTCGAAAAAGTGCACGCCGTTGTGGCGCGAAGCACATTTCAAAGTCAAAAGTGTAAAAAACTGAGGGTTTTGAGCCTTTTTTGACGTGAAGATGTCGAAAAAGTAGACACTGATTAACTTAACTAACTTGACTAACTTAACTAACTTCACTAACTCAACTACCCTAACTTCGACGACAACAGCAACAGCAACAACAACAACAACAACACCAACCACAACAACTACAACAACTACAACTACAACTACACAACAACTACAACTAGAACTACAAATAGAACTACAACTACAACAACTACAACAACAACAGCAACAACAACAACAACAACAGCAACAACAACAACAACAGCTACAACTACAACTACAGCTACAGCTACAACTACAACTACAACTACAACTACACTACAACTATAACTACAACTAGAACTACAACTACTACAACTACAGCAACAACAACAACAACTACTACTACTACAACAACAGCAACAACAACAACAACAACTACAACAACTACAACAACAAC